TGGGGGCCCCCAGGGCCTCTTGGGGGCTCTTGGGGGCCTCTTGGGGCGGGAGGGGGGGTAGTCGATTGCGGCTCCCCCCTCGGAGGCCACGATCCTCGTGAGGGGTGTCGAAAAATTGCCCGGTCCGGCATCTCTGGCCCCCACCCTGCCGGGGACCTGCCGGGCTACTTTTCGCCCGGGGACTCCTAGGTGCCGCCCCGCGCGCGCGAACTAGAAATACTGTTTACCTGTTACAGGAGATCTTAGCACGCCCTGGCCCGTTGGGCCGGCGAATTTTTCGTCGAACATCCCCCTGTAGGGGGACAGGCCCGACCTAATTTTAGCCTCCCTCCTGCTGCTCTCTCTCGCTCTCTCTCTCTCTCTCTCGTGCTCCATCCCCCTCCCTCACCCTTGTCCCTTTCTTCCATTCGTCCTCTCTCCACCTACCGCAGGTGCTGCACGACAAGCAGGTTGCAAGTGAGAAAGATGTACCCCCAAGGGGGTACGCTCGAAGACGACGCGGGCGAGTATCGAAGGTCTGGGATACACGTGTTGAGTGGCACTCGAGCAGACAAGAGCTAACAGTTTTAAAGTGGTGGATGTTGTTGGTGTTGTCGTTGTTGTCGTTGTTGTTGTTGTTGTTGTTGTTGTTGTTGTTGTTGTTGTTGAACATTATTTCTTCTTAAGAATAATTATTGTTGGGGCCCCTGGTGCGCGCCCCCCCCGCCGCGCCTAGGCCGCAGCCACGTTTTCATCATTTTCGTGAGGAAGCCTCAGGTAAAACGATGTGATCCAGATCCGGTTGTTTTGTTGACGCCCGCTTTCCCTTGCAAAAAACACTATAAAATTAAATTTCTTATTCTAACATATCCAAACTTCAAGAATCCCTTGCAAAAAATAAGGTAAAGTGGACATTCGCGCGCGCAAGACGAAATCCTTCCAAAACCTAAGTTTTCGTAGCGATTTTAACATAAAAACATAAAAAACAATGGTTTTTCAAAAACAATTGTCGAAATTTCATCCCGCGTGCTCTTGCGGATTCGTAGGAAACCCAACACTTTTTAAACATTTCTGTCAAACGGGCTTTTGCGAGCAACTTTTTCGAACTTCTGCAACAACGGTTGCGCACCTGCCAGGGCCATCATCCCTGTCAAATAATACCATGCGGGACACATTCGTTTTATCTTCGCGCGCGCACGCCGCGGTTGGGGGGTTCCAGGGGGGGCCGGGGGGGGGGGGGGGGGGGGGGGGCGGGGGGGGGGGGGGGGGTGGGTGGGGGGGCCAGCTGGGAATAGTAGCCACGGTCGTCCGCATGCCACGAAGGGAAGTGTCCGAACGTCATAGGGCGGGAAGCTGGGTGTGGGTGGTGGCGAAGAGTCGTTTGGAAATTTGGTAGAGCTTGAACCGGCCCCCCCCACAAAGTGGGGGTATTGCCCGCCTCCTATGAAAACCCTGGCGCTGGTGAGAACGGAGTGTCCCCACGTGCTAGTAATTGTTGTTGTTGTTGTTGTTGTTGTTGTTGTTGTTTTTGCTGTTGATGTTGACGTAGTTGTTGTTGCTGTTGTTGCTGTAGTTGTTGTTGCTGTTGTTGTTGGTGGTGGTTATTTGTTTGTTGTTTGTTGTCGTCCCCCCCGCGACACACCCACGACCCACCCCTCGACACACCCGCGACCCACCCTCGACCCACCCGCTACTTGGCCCGCGACCCACCCGCGACCCACCCCGCGACCCGCCCGCGACCCACCTGCGACCCACCCACGTTGCTTGAACAAAAAATCGGGGCCTGCGGCGAGCTCGTTGTACGACTTGTAGAAGTTAGGCGCCTGCGTCAGGCTTTTTCAGAGCCTCGCAGACTGCCGACATCCCCGCCGCCCCCTCACTCTTATCCTCAGCTGCGGGGGGCTACGTGTGTGTATATATATACATTTATATATATGTGTATATATATACATAGATGCTAGCACCCCCCCCCAGCACCCCACCTTCGACGCGATGGCGGAACTATAATCAAGATTGTCATGTCTGTTTGGGTGGATGGTCGTCAGTGATGGCTTACTTGTATTTCACATGTTCGGCTGGATCCTGCATGTGAATCGCTACTTGTATCTCGTCATTGCACGCACGGAATGCGATTGCTCACGGGCTGAAGATGCGTCCACATAACGCTATACACAATGCATTCGTGGCACTAATATTGACGTAGATGGCATAGGATAACATACAAAAGCGACGCAGACCCGTATACTTGCGGGCGACAGAGAAGCTCACGACCTGCTGCACCCATCTTTTTCGTTGCGCGAGTGCCTGCAAACGAAACATCCACGGACACGCGCGTGGCGCGCGCGGAGAGGCAACACAGAGAACGCCGATCCAAGCTCACAGGTCCAGGGGCAAAAGCAGAAAACCAACAAACACACGAAATCCAACAAACACAAAACGAACACCAACAACATCAATAACCAAGGCAGAAAACCAACAAAAACAATTGTTTTCAAACATTTCCCATTGAAAACATTGCAGAACCATTTGTTTTCTTGTGTATTCCGCCACCAAAGAAATCCTTTTGTATTCCGCCACAAAGGGACTTGTGTATTCCGACACAAAGAGAATCCTTTTGTATTCCGCCACAAATGGAATCCTTCTGTATTCCGCCACAACGGGAATCCTTTTGTATTCCTCTACAAAAAGGAATCCTTTTGTATTCCTCTACAGAAGAAAACCTTGTGTATTCCGCAACAAAAGGAAATCCTTGTGTATTCCGCCACAAAGGAACTCCTTTTGTATTCCGCCACAACAGGAAATGCTTGTGTATTCCGCCACACAAGGGTTTGCTTTTGTATTCCGCCACAAAAAGGAGTCCTTTTGTATTCCTCCACGCAAGGGTTTGCTTTTGTAATTGATGGAAGGGGAAACTATTGAAAACCATTGGTTTTGTTTGTTTTTCTGCCTTGGTCATTAATTTTGTTGGTTTTCGCTTTGTTTTTGTTGGATTTCGTGTTTTTGTTGGTTTTCTTGTTTCTCAGCCTCCTCCGTTGCTAACAGGGCAGCCGCAGGCCCAGGGGCAAAAACAGAAAACCAACAAAAACACGAAAGCCAACAAAAACAAAGCGACCACCAACAAACTTAATAACCAAGGCAAAACAAAACCAACAAAACCAATTGTTTTCAAAAGTTTCCCATTGAAAACATTGCAAAACCATTTGTTTTCATGTGTATTCCGCCACCAAAGAAATCCTTTTGTATTCCGCCACACAGGGAATCCTTTTGTACTCCGACACAAAGAGAATCCTTTTGTATTCCTCTACAGAAGAAAACCTTGTGTATTCCGCAACAAAGGGAATCCTTTTGTATGCCTCCACAACAGGAATCCTTTTGTATTCCTCTACATAAGAAATCCTTTTGTATTCCTTTTCCGCCACAGAGGAACCCCTTTTGTATTCCTCCACAGAAAGGGGTCCTTTTGTATTCCGCCACTCAAGGGCTTGCTATTGTAATTGATAGAAGGGAAAACTATTGAAAACCATTGGTTTTGTTGGTTTTTCTGCCTTGGTTATTAATTTTGTTGGTTTTCGCTTTGTTTTTGTTGGATTTCCTGTTTTTGTTGGTTTTCTGGTTTCTCAGCCTCCTCCGTTGCTAACAGGGCAGCCGCAGGCACAGGGGCAAAAACAGAAAACCAACAAAAACACGAAATCCAACAAAAACAAAACGAAAACCAACAAACAATTAATAACCAAGTCAGACAAAAACCAACAAAACCAGTTGTTTTCAAAAGTATTCCATTGAAAACATTGCAGAACCATTTGTTTTCATGTGTATTCCGCCACAAAAGGAATCCTTTTGTATTCCGCCACAAAGGGAATCCTTTTGTATTCCGACACAAAGAGAATCCTTTTGTATTCCGCCACGAATGGAATCCTTCTGTATTCCACCACAAAGGGAATCCTTTGGTATGCTTCCACAAAAGGAATCTTTTTGTATTCCTCTACAGAAGAAATCCTTTTGTATTCCGCCACAAAAGGAAATCCTTGTGTATTCCGCCACAAAGGAAATCCTTGTGTATTCCGCCACAAAAGGAAATCCTGTTGTATTCCGCCACGCAAGGGTTGCTTTTGTAATTGATAGAAGGGAAAACTATTGAAAACCATTGGTTTTGTTGGTTTTTGTGCTTTGGTTATTAATTTTGTTGGTTTTCGCTTTGTTTTTGTTGGATTTCATGTTTTTGTTGGTTTTCTGGTTTCTTGCCCTTTCACTAGGGCCAAAGCAGCTTTAAAAGAAATCCGATTGGGATCCCTTCAAAAGAATATAATTGTAATCCTCCTCAACAGGATTTCCAAGTGCAGCGCGCGTTGAAACAGCGAAGCCATTCAAAGCAAACGCACCAACGTTTTCAAAACAAGATTTTCAGAAACATGAATCGGTGGGGTGCTGGGGGGGTGCTACCATATATATATATATATATATATATATATATATATATATATACATACATACATGCATACACATGCATGCATCTCTCTCTCTCGCTTTCTTACTATATATGTAAATCTAGAGAAATGGCAAGCCTTCTGGCGGCCCAGGCCTCCGATGCTGTGACTTGTTCCCCAGCCCGGACCCCCAGACCCCAGACGTCTCGACCCTCCTCCTACTCCTCCTCGTCCTTACCTCCTCCTCCTCCTGCTCCCCCCTCACCCTCACCTCCTCCTCCTCCTCCTCCTCCTCCTCCTCCTCCCCCTCCACATCTCCTCCTGGAGCCCAGGATCGGCCTTTCATCCTGAGGCAACTTGACGGCCCCAGGACCCAGCAAGGGCCCCCGCAGGCCGGAAATGGCAACAGCACTCCCGTCGCATTTTTTCCGGATGCGAAGGCTTCTCCGTCGTCCCGCCGTATTTTTTTTTGGATCCTGCCGTATTTTTTTTTCCTGGCGTCCTTCCGTGTCGTGGGGCACAGGTGGCGCCCTCCTCTTCCTCCTCCTCCTCCTCCTCCTCCTCCTCCTCCTCCTCCTCCTCCTCCTCCTCCTGAAGGCACAGGTGGCGCCCTCGGTCATCGGCTTCAATGTCAGCGGGGCACTGGCCGACGCGCTGAGGGTGACGCTCGGCGGCCACGCCGTGTCGGCGGCGGACGTGAAGGCGCGGGGGGCTCGGCAAGCTGCGCACGGGGAGGTGCTTCCCTCGTCCTCCTGCTGCTGCTGTCTGCCTCCCGCTCGCGCCTGGTGTCGACACCTGGCATGGAGGCGCTTGCGGCTCGCGTTCGAGCGCGGGAAGAAGCCGCAGCTGCCGCCCGTCGATCGGGTTAAGGCGGGATTGCTCTGTTCTGCCTCGTGGGCCTCCGAGGGAATGATGATGATGGTGATTCTGCTGGTGGTGATGGTGCTGATGGTAGTGGTGGTGATGATGGTGGTGGTGATGCTGTTGTTGTTGTTGATGATGATGATGATATGATGATGATGATGATGATGATGATGTGAATGGTGAAAGTAACGATGCAGATGCGGCATCGGACAAGGATTTTTGATGATGATGATGATGATGATGATGGTGATGATGCTGATGGCGGTGATGATGGGGGTAAATCATGCACCTGATGGAGCATCTGTATGACGATAAGTGTGGTGGTAATGCTGGCGATGATGCTGATGATGATGATGATGATGATGATTAGGATGATGATGATGGTGGTAATGATGATGCGGATGCTGGTGATGATGATGATGATGCTGATATTGATAATGAGGATGATGATTGTGGTGGTCGTGATGATGCTGATTCTGGTTCTGATTATGACCATGATACTGGTGATGCTGATGCTGATGCTGATGCAGATTATGATGATGGTGATGGTGATTGTGATGGTGATGGTGGCGGTGATGGTGATGGTGATGATGATGCTCATGCTGCTGATTATGATGCTGCTGATGATGTTGTTGTTGATGATGATGGTGATGATGCTTATGACGAAAATGATGATGGTGATGATTATCTTAATGATGATGCTGATGATGATGATGCTGATAATTATGCTGATCATGATGCTGCTGATGGTGATGCTGATGCTGCTGATGGTGATGATGATGTTGGTGGTGGTGACAATGCTGATGATGACGCTGAATTTGATGATGGTGATGGTGATGGTGATGATGCTGATGATGATGCTGCTGCTGCTGATGATGATAATTATGATGATGCTGATGATGATGATGATGATGATATGATTGGATGATGATGATGATGATGAATGATGATGATGATGATGATGATGATGATTATGATATGATAATGATGAATGATGATGATGATGATGATGGTGGTGGTGGTGGTGGTGGTGAGCATGATGATGGTGGTGGTGATGATTCTGATGATGATGGTGATGATGATGCTGCTGCTGCTGATGATGATGATGATGCTGATGATGATGATGATGATGATGATGATGATGATGATGATGATGATGATGATGATGATGATGATGATGATGATGATGGTGATGATGCTAATGATGATCATGATTTGGCAGTTCGGTGCGGCAACTTAGAGCATATGATTTAAAGGGTACGGGTCGCAGGAGAGGGGGTTTTCGCTGAAGCTTTCTCGGCTCAGCAGCGCGCGCTGAACCCCCTTCTCTCTGCAAAGGGAGGGGAGTCCCCCCTTCGGGGGGTGCCACAGCCATGGCGGCCGCCGCCATGCTCGCTGCCCTGGCGCTCGCCGCTGCCCTGCGCTGGGGCGCGGGCGCGGGCGCGGCCGCCGGGCCGGCTGCGCTGCTGGGCCCCCGCCCCGCAGCAGGCGCCGCACGTGCGCCGGCGCCGGCGCCTCCCGCGCCCGCGGCCCCCCCCGCGGAGGCCGCCGAGGAGCGGGACTACTCCTACGATGATCTCGATCTTCTGGCGGCCGCGGGCTTCCTCGGCCTCCTCGGGAGGCCTGCCGAGCTAGACGGCGTTGGCGCGCTGGTCTCAAAACGAGAAGGCTTCGCGGGCCCACCGGCAGCTGAACTCGTTCGGGGAGTCGAACTGGCGGTGGACATCGACGAGGACATGGAGCCAGAAACTGAGGCCGCGGCCCCGCCACCGGAGGCGCCAGGAGCGCCAGAGGCCGCCCAGAGGTATATGCGTCGTGTAGTTCGAGTACTACGGGTGCTACTACGGGGTAGAGTCGGACACGCTTGCGCCGCCGCGGGCCAGCCCGACCGCCGCATTGCGCCAGACATCACCGTCGAGGACGACGAGGACGATGGCAACGACGAGGACGCGGAGGACGTGGGCTACGAGGAGATGGGAGCAGAGCCGCCAGCCCCAGGCCCTGCGCCGCCGCCCCCGTCCAGGATGGAAACCGCTCTCGGCTGGCTGCCAGCCTCTGGATGCCTGCCCCCGCCCCGCCCGCGGCTCCCCCCGCTGGGCCCGATGCCGCCTGGAGCTGGACAGCCATGCTGTGGGCCCGCCTGGGCCCTTCGCGGTGCGCGCGCGGGCGGGCTGCGAACTTGGTCGCTCTGCTTAAGGAAACCAATGTCTCGCGGCAGGGGAAAGTACCATTGGGCTCGCAGGGTGTTTTCGCGGCGAGTTCGCATGACGCATATATCTGCGCGTCGTCCCTGGGTTCCGGGAGGCGCACGCGCGCGGGCGGGCCTCGAACTTGGTCGCTTTAGTCAAGCAAGCCAATGTCTCGCGGCAGAGGAATGTATTGTTTTGCTCGGAGGGTGTTTTTGTAGCAAGTACGTATGACACATGTATCCGCGCGTCGTTTCTGGGCCCTTGGCGGCGCGCGTGCGCGGGCGGGCTGCGAGCGCGGTCGCTTTGCCGAAGGAAGCCGATGTCTCGCTGCGAAAGAAATTTCTAGCAGAGGAGACGCGCCTTTCTGGCGATTGCCCGGGGGCACCCCGAGAGTTTTTCGTCCCGCGCGTTCGTTCTGTTCTCCGAAAGCCCATGCGCAGATGCGCGGGCGCCCTAAAGCGACGGTGCGCGCCAGAGCTGGTTCATGGACGCACGGGGCTGGTAGGTGCGCGCGTCTGTTTCGTGGCCCCGCACCTCGTTGCGCGTGTTGCGCAAGGGAATCGGCGGGTCATCGTCTGACTTCGGGGCCGCGCCGACGGTCGCCCCCGCCAGCGAGCGCGTCTGGACACTCGTCCGTGCCCGGCCTGCGCATTACCGCGGTCACCCCCCTGGCCGTTTGCCCTCCTTCGCGGAGTGCACGCGCGCGGGGGGCGAAGCTGGAGTGCGCGTGGCCGTCGCGCGCCGCCCGCGCTGGGCCTGGAAGCTGCTCGCCGCGCGCGAGCCTAGGCGCATTTAGCAGCCAGGTGCTCTAAGACGTACTCTCCCGAAAAAGGGCGGTGACAAGCGGCCCTGCGCTCGAGAGTGCGCGGCGTGTTCAGCGCGCGCGCATCGAAGTCATCGTCGAAAGCGCGGCTGCGGAATGTCTCCCGCGACTCCCGCAAGCGCCGCGCCGGGCCTCCTGTGAAGTCGGCGGCCGCCTGCGTCCTCGAGGCGCCAGTGAGACTCGCTGCCAGAAGGGCTGCCAGATCGCCGAACTCTGCGTCGAGGAAGTGGGGGAAAACGGGTCAGGAGGGGGAAAACACACAGACACAATTAATCGTCGATACCCCGGAAAATATGGGAAAATATGGGAAGCGGGGGGGAAGACAACCCAGGAAATATTGGGAAATGTGGGGGATCCTGTTATTTGCGTGTATTTACCTCTGTGTCCCAGGGCCCCGTCACCGGGGGCGAACAGGGCCCGACCCCCTTCGAGAGTAGGGGCCGGCCCGCCCGCGGCGGCCTTCGTTGGCGCCGCGCGCGGAGCAGGGGCGGCCGACGCCGGCGCCGCGCCTGGCGCGGGAGGGGCGCTCAGCCGACGAGCCCGGCGCTCCGCCGCGCGCTTTCTGCCGCCCGTGGCGGAAGTCAAGTGAGGAACAGTTTTCGAAGACCTGCGGCGGTGAGCGCGCAAGTCCCAGAGTTCTCGAGCCTGAAGGCGTCGAACGGGACGCGGGCTGTGAACCTCCTACGCTCGATTGCAGAACCCTCGTCAACGCGGCGTCGTCACATCGTGTTCGCCGTAATCATCGTCACCATCATCATCGTCGTTGTCATCACCAGTTATCATCATCAGCTCTGTCAGCGTCAACATCACCATCATCAGTACCATTGCCATCATCGTCATCATCATCGTTATCATCAGCATCGTCGTCATCATCTTCATCCTCATTTTCGTCCTCATATCCGTCATCATCATCATCGTCGTCGTCGTGGCCATGAGGTCCCCGTGTGAGAGGCTTTAACAGTCCCAAGCAGAACGAGGCCCCCGCTTGACAGGCCCCCCCCAAAAAATTAAAACCGGAAGAGGCCTCCGCCTGAGGGGCGTCCCACAAAAAAACGCGAAGAGGAGCTGGCCCCCGCCTGAGAGGCCCACGACGACACGAAGAGGAAGAAGCCACTGTTTGAGAGGCCCCCCAAAAGTCCGAGGAGGAAGAGGGCCCCCGCCAGAGAGGCCCCAGAACAAATGGAGGCTCCCGCCTGAGAGGTCCCAGAAGAGCAAAACCCAACGAGACTCAAGAGGGAGGCCTCTCATGCCTGCAACCTTCCCAAACAAACAAACCCAAGCTCCAGAGGAGTCATTGTTTTCCTTCTCCTCATCGGCATCATCATCATCATCATCATCATCATCATCATCATTATCATCATCATCATCATCATCATCATCACCGTCATCGCCGTCGCCATTATCGCCAATATCATTATCAACGTCAACATTACCATCATCAACACCATTGTCATCATCGTCATCGTCATCATCGTCTTCTCCATTATTACCGTCATCATCATCATCACATTCATCTTCATGTTCATATTGTCATCATCACCATCGTCGTCGTCGCCATGGCCATGAGGCCCCTGTTTGAGGGCCCCCAACAAAACCCAATAAGGAAGAGGCCCCCGCCCGGGAGGTCCTAGAAAAAAGAGCACGAAGGCAGTCCCGCTTGAGAGGCCTCCTCAAAATACGCGAAGAGGAAGAGGCTCTGCCTGAGAAGTCCCCCCAAAAACATGAGTAGGAAGAGGCCCCCGACTGAAAGGTCCCAGAATAATTGAATCAAATGGGGGCCCCCGCCTGAGAAGTCCCCCCAAAACCCAAATAATCCCACGGTGAAG